CGGGGGTCGTCACACGGGTCGCACCTGGGAAGTGGCGGTGCTGCGGTGGGGGTTGAGGACCCGCCTCGTGGCCACCCCGCCCGCCCGCCGAGGCCAGAGTGGGGGACTCCGGGCCGTCACGAGCGGGAGCAGCCTTCCCTGGTGTGGCCTGTTGCAGCCACTATCAAGTGAGCTTTTCCGTGTGGACACGTTCGTGCCGGTTGGCATGTCACCTCATCTAACTGGAGAGGGTCGCTTGGCGTGACTGCGGGTCCGCGTTTCATCACGCAGGGTCTTTGGCCGGTGACAGAGGGCCACAGAGGGCCGTTGCCAGCACAGCCCTTCGCGCCCAGTGCGGGGCATCACTGGGGCGCTGGAGCACGTGGGAGACGAACACTGGACCTGGGAGCAACAGGCTGCGCTCATTCCCAGACACGTGTCTGCTGAAAATGCGGCTTTCCTGTTCTCATGTGCGTTTGGGGAGCTGCACGACGCGGCGACCGTGGTTCCAGACGGCCCGATGCTGGCTGGACTCCCTGGGGTCAGGACGGGCAGAGGCCGTCGTTTCGGGCTGATGTGGGACAGGTAGACGCTCCCTCGCACGTCCACACTGAGTTTACCCTGGGGACTGACGAGTGGTCGGCTGTGTGTTTCGTGGGTTTTTCTAGGCAGTAGAAATTGAAGTCTAAATGGAATGTCGAAAGAAACAAGGCAATAAACCTGAACAAACGTTCAAGGGAAGCGCTAAACTGAAACCCTGTGAACCTCGACAAGCGTGATCTCTGATGTCGCAGACAAGGGTCGTCGGGGCAGCCGCTCTGCAGGCGCCTGTCGGAAGCCATTGCTGCGCATGGCTGTGTTCGGACTTCAGACGAAGCCGTGTGCCGTGAACTTTACCGTTGTGGGTGAGGGTTCAAGGGCGCTGGAAGCCAGTGCTGAACCTGAAACCCAGAGCGACGTGGTGGCCGGTTCCGTGTGGTGACGAAACTGTAGTCTGCTCTCAGGGACAGAGGCCTCGGGGCCGTGTGACCGTTTCGTCAGCTCCGGTGAACTCCCTCTGGTCAGCCCTCTGGAGAGCTGATTTCTTGAACCACTTAGAGTCGATTTTCAAAATTAATTTCCTTCGGATTACTTAAAATCGAAACGTGTGGCCTTGCCCAAGGTCCGTTCCATCCCAGTTGTCCCTCCCGGTGACTGCGAGGTGTGCCAGCTGTGGCAGGCCCCGTCGCGCAGGGTCACACCGTACCTATGATTCAAACATCTCCAAAGCCTGAAAAATGGCACTGTGTTCCCCGGGCCGCAGACGCGCAGGGTGAAGCCTGGCCGAGCTGCTGGTTCACTCACCCGCTTAGCGTGCGTGTGGGTGTCTGCCGTGGGCGCCCCAGACTCCACAGGGGACTTATGACCTTAGTAAACTTCAAATGGTCCGGGCCCCCGACCTCTGTGAGAAGGGACGGCGCACCTACAACGTAAGCGGAGACGGCCTCCGTGCTGACCGGTATCCGAACGTCCACTTCCAGATGTGATGGTGAGAAGCCTCTCCGGCGGTGTCCCTGGTGGTCCCCGATCAAGGCAGGCGCTCCCCTGCGTGTCCGAGTCGGTCTGAACCGGCACCGTGCACGGGGCGCCCTTCCTCTTGCTCATGTGCGCGCTCGGGGTCCGGTGTGGGCCCCGCGTTTCCTGCATGCACCATGGGAAGTTAGCTGCTGCCCTGAGTGTCCCCGATTTGAAAGTGTCTTTTCTCTTCGCCCGGCCCCCCTAGGGACAGACCTTGCTTCTGCATGTCAAACGAGGAGGCTCCTTGGAAACGGAGAGCAAAGCGGGCGCGTCACTAACCGATGGTTTGTCACGTTCAGACCACGACTCAAGACGTCTGCTCTGCCCGCTCAGATGTAAATGTCCCCGCACTGAGTGAAGAGCTGGATCTGGGGCGTTTGGAGAGTCGGGGGACACCAGCCTGCCCTCGGGAGTAAGGAACCGACCCACAAGGAAGGTGACCCTGACGGTGGCTTTTAAATGGAGTGTGCGAGACAGACACGCTCGTTACTTGTACCGGTGGGACTTTTACTCTTTATACTAAACTGAAGTTTCCGAATTTTTTACGTGATCAGAAAACAGCATGAGTTATTTTTAATATAATATTGGGGAAACTGCAATATTTTTGAGTAAATCAAATTACAAGTCATTAAAATGGACTGTTTACACTATTATATGTATATTGCAACTATAGCTTTGCAGTTTTTAAATCTGAGACAAAGTTTCGATTAAGGTTTTAAGGAACTAAACTGGAGCTGGGTCTTGCATCTCAGGGCCTCCTGCAGTGGCTTCTCCTGTCCCTGGCATTCTGTGTGACTCTCCAGGGTACGAAAGGCTGACAAGGAATCCAGCGTCTGCAAAAATCACTTCTTAACTAAGAATGTAACAAAGCTCCCAAATGATTTGATTTCACTATACCGGTGAATTTTTTTAAAAGACCACAATAACAGTTTCCAGCTTTCATTTTAGCAATTTAATTTATAAATTAAAAAATTTAAAGGCAAAATTTATCTTGTTCTAGGAAAAGTATTTCACAGGCCGAGTCCCGAAGAACTGAAAGCTTTTACGGAGAAAGCAAACACTGGGCCCTCGGCTCCCGGACACGAGCAACAAGTGTGGACGCACGGCCTCACGTAGGTTCCAGCTCCTGGCCCCTCATTTGCAGCGACAAGGAATCAAGTGACAGCAGGGCCCAGAGTCCAGGGGCCTGGCCCAGGAGGCAGCAGGCTGAGGGACCCCGAGGTCCTGTGCCTTTGGCTCACACACCGGGCCCCTGGCAAGGGCTGCACACTGCAGTGGAGGCCGCCAGGCTGCGTCCTGTCCGCCCGCCGGCCGCCTAGGCTGCCTTCTGCCTTTGCTCCTCCTGTGGGAGAAGAAAGGGGCTCAGTGCTGCCCCCCAACTGGTCTGTACCCCGGAGGTCCCCCACCTGCTGCGTGCAGTCCCCGGCCTCCACTGCCAGCGTCCCTCCTGCCCGCCCTCCCTCCCTCCCTCCCCATGTTGGCCACTGAGCGCCCTCAGGTCCCCTGGACAGCAGAGGCCCCACCTTGATGGCGCTCTCCAGCTGGGACAGCGCCTCCTCGTACCGGGGAACCAGCGGCTGCAGGAGCTCGGCGGGGACATCGTGCCGCTGCAGCGCGGGCGCCCCAGCTTCAGCCAGCATCCGCAGGAAGCGCTTCTCCTGGAGGGAAGCGGCCAGCTGTCTGGAGGGGCTGCCGTCCCCCGCCCGGCCCCTCCCACCAAGGCCCCGGCCTGACCTGCACTCGGAGCAGCAGCGTGAAGGCCTGTCCGGTGTTCCCGGCGCGGGCGGTCCTTCCAACCCTGAAACCAAGCCCAGGCACCTCCAGCGCGGCGCTGGCCCTTCGGGGATCTGCGGGATGCAGCTTCCCTCCCGATGCAACCCCCTTGCCCCCCGAGGGCGTGCGCCCCAAGCCAGCACTCACCGGTGCACGTAGGTCCGCAGATACTGGGGGGCGTCGTAGTTGACCACCAGCTGCACGGCCCGCACATCGATGCCGCGGGCTGTGGCGTCTGTGCTGATGAGGCTGTGGGGCAAGGAGCTGTGGGCCCTGCCCGTGGCCCGTAGCCAGGACACCCCACTGCCACCCGCTGGGGACCAGGCAGACCCCAGAGCAGGACCGGCTCCGCGCTCCAGCACTCACAGCTGAATCTTCCCCTGCTCAAACTGCTTCAGGATCCTCTTCCGCTGGCCTGGGCTGTGGCGGGAGGAGAACTCGGCCACGGTCACACCTCCAAAGGCCTGGACGAGCAGGAAGAGCCTGGGTGGGAAAAGCTGGAGCTGGTGGGCGTGCGTCAGACCCGCCTGCCCGCCTGCCCACCTGCCCACCTCCCCCGCCCAACAGAGCCGCACCTGTGGGAGTTCTCGCGGGAGTTGGTGAAGCAGAGGACCCTTGAGAAGTTCAAGTCTAGGATCAGGTGCAGAACCACAAGCGGCTTGGAGCGCAGGCGGCAGGGCACGTAGTGGTGCTGGGGGGACAGCACGGAATTGGCCGGGTCCCGGGACGGTGACCCCTCCTCTCCCCTCCCCGAGCACCCCGCTCACCGTGAGCCCCGTGGGGAAGGTGTACTTCCCGCCCGAGTCCCCGTCCACGGCGGCATCTCTGGGGCCCCTGCCTGCCAGCCCCGTGGAGAAGAGCCGGGGCTGGTAGAGGCCGAGCTGCTGCAGCTTCTCGGGGTTCTGGGTCAGGGTGGCCGAGAAGAGCAGCTTCTGCAGTGGCATCTGGGGGCAGCAGGTGCTGAGAGAGGGGCAGGCGCTGGGAGGGCAGCCTTGGCCTGGCCAGCCACCCTCCTGAGCCCCGAAAAGGGAGGAGTGGGTCTCAGGGATGAGACTGGGGGGCCGTGCTCGGGGCCGGGTACCTGGCGGCGGTCACGACCTGGGGCTGCCGTCGCTGGAGCAGAGCGAAGGGATCCGGGTCCCCCTCGCTGGGGAAGGCCGCCGCCACCACCCGCGGCAGCCAGGACTGGTGCATGCTGTCTATCATGCGGTCGGCCTCGTCGATAATCTGCGGGCAGCAGGAGGCCTGGCGTCTGGCGGCCGAGAGCAGCAAAGGCCCCAGGCCCGGCCTCCCTCCGGGCGGTGGGCCCCCTACCAGGAAGCGGAGGTGCCAGAGGCTGAAGCCTGGGGTCTGGTCAATGTGGTCCACCAGGCGGCCCGGGGTGGCCACCACGATGTCAGCCAGGCAGCGGAAGCCGTCGACCCTGCGGGACAGAGAGCAGCTCGGAGGGGCCCCTGCTCTGACCCCTGGGCAGGGAGCCTGCGGACTGGTGGCCACTCCCCTCCCGCTCAGCAGGCCCGCGTCCCCACACAGCCCACGGCCTGGCAGGACCTACGTCTTCTGGACGAGGCTCTCTTGCTCCTTGGCCAGCGACTTCTGCCCGGTGACCAGGGCCACGCGCAGAGGTGTGGCATCCGTGTAGAGGTTGAACACTTTGCTCACCTGGAAGCGGGGACAGGTGTCACCAGCTGCCAGGACTCTGGGTCTGACCCCGGGCGCGGGGCGCGGGGCTCGCATACCTGCTGGGCCAACTCCTTGGTGGGCAACACGACCAGGGCGCGGACCTGGCACACGGCTCGCTGCAGCAGGGCCTGCGGGGGAGGGGGGCCACCTGCGTCACCAGGGCCGGCGCCCTGCCTGCCAACCCCTCTCGGAGGGCAGGGTCCTCACACTCACCTGCACCACAGGGATGACAAAAGCCAGCGTCTTCCCACTGCCCGTCGGGGCTGAAACACAGAGGTCACTGGGCCGGTAGCCACCCCTGCCCCCGAGAAAGCCGCCGGCTGCGCTCTCCAGGACAGCGGGGATCACCGCGGCCTGGACTGGACAAGGGGGACAAGGCGCCTGTCATGTCCGTGTGGGGACCCCCTCCCCAACGGGACAGGTACATGGTGCATCTGTGGCCAGCAAGCTGGGCTGCTCTCCGCAGGGAGCGTCAGCACCTGACCCCCCGCCACCTGTCCAGGGCTGGCGCACCTGGAAAGAAGGACGTGATGCCGTGTGCCCGCAGCCTCCTCTGCAGGTCAGGGTGGACTTCGGGGACATCCTCAATGGGCACCAAGTCTTCGGTGACATTCCTGGTTACACAGCTTGGCTCAGCCAGCCACGTTGGCAGGAAAGGCTGGACCTATCACAAAGGGTACGAGAAGCAGGCCAGGTGACTGCTCCAGGGCGGCGAGGCCGGCAGAAACCAGGCTACACAGGCCGCAGGACGGAGGCCGGCGAGCCTCTAGCCGGGGTCCTGGCTTCCCCACTGCCTGCTGCCCGGAGCAGATCCACCTGGGGCTTCCCCTCACGCCTACGTAACAGCCACTCCCTGAGCCAAACCCGCAAGGCACCCCAAGGCCCTGCAAGGCCTGGCGCTCACCTGCCCCCACCCCGTTTCCTGTCACTGGCCACAGAAACCTGTTCTTACACACTGAGATCTCTGCTGCCTCCCTCGGCCTGGCCCCCGCCTCCCCCACCCCCATCCCAGCTGGGCTCGACTCAAAGGGGACCCGCATGCAGGCCCCAACAGAAGAGGGCCCCTCCCTCTGCGCAGACCGGGCCTCGCCCTCGCCACCCTCCAAGAGGCCTGCAGAACTTGATTACTGAAACCATCCGCTAAGATGACCTGCCGAGCCCAGGGACCGCGTGGACGCTCCCATCTGGTTCTCAGGCTGGTGAGCACGTGGTATCATGTTAGCAAACTGGACTCTGCCACACATTAAAAGGATCACACACCATGATCAAGTGGGATTTGTTCCTGGACGCAAGGCTGGTTCAATATCTGCAAATCAGGTACTGTGATACATCACATAAAACGAAGGAGAAAAATCCTATGATCATCTCAACAGAGGCAGGAAAAGCACTGAACACAGTCCAAAATCCACTTAGGATAAGAACTCAGCAAAGTGAAGATGGAGGGAATACACCTCAACAAAATAAAAGCCATAAACGACAAACCCACAGCTAACTCACGCTCAACAGAGAAAGGCTGCAAGCTTTCTGTTTAAGATCAGGAACAGACAGCGATGCCCACTGTCCCCGCTGCTACTCAACGCAGCGCTGGGACCCTCAGCCACAGCAGTCAGACGAGAGACAAAAGGCATCCGAGTTGGAAGGATAGAAGGAAAACTGTCATTGTTTGTAGATGACATGATACTATACATAGAGAACACTCAACATTCCACCAAAAAACTGTTAGAGCTGATCAATGAATTCAGTAAAGTACAAAATACAAAATATTCAGGAATGGGTTGCATTTTTATACACCAATATCAGACTACGGGGGAAATAAAATTAAGAAAACAACCCCATTTGCAATTGCATTGAGAAGAATAAACTACCTGGGAACGAATTTAACGCAGGAGGTAAAAGAGCCGTGCTCGGAACAGCAACACGCTGAAGAAACTGGAGGTGCAGATAAATGGAGGCAGACACCACGCGAGCAGGGAGGGAGGGTCGGCCGTTAACACGGCCCCGAGCAGGCAGTCCACAGATTCGGTGTGGTCCCATCGGAATGCCAGTGGCGTTTTTCAGAGAACGAGAATAACCCTAAAATTTATATTAACCAGCAAAAGACCCTGAGAGCCAGAGAGCAGCCTTAAGCAACAAACCTAGAGGAATCACGCTCCCTGATGTCAAACTACACTGTAAGGCTATCGTCATCAAAACAGCACGGGACCGGGACAGAAACGAACAGATCGATGGAACAGAATAGAGCTCAGAAATGAAGCCACGCCTACGTGGTCCATTAACCGGTGATAAAGGGGGCAAGAACATACAATGGGGCAAAGACAGGCTCTTCATCAAATGGTGCTGGGAAAACTGGACAGACACACGCAAAGAATGAAAGCAGACCGCCGTGCTACCCCAAATACCGGGACAAAGCCAAAATGCATCACGGGCTCAAACGTACGACTGAAGCCATGAAACGCCGAGGATGAAACCGGGCGGCAGCTCCGACGCTGCGCTTAGTCACACGCTCTGCATGTGTCTCCTCGGGTGGGGGAAACAAACGATAAACGGGACATCGAACTACAAAGTTTCGCACAGCAAAGGAAACCAACGAAACGAAAAGAGCCTCCGAGTGGGGCAAGACCTCCGCCTGCGATGCACCTGACCAGGGGATAACGTCCAACATTTATGAAGGGCTCGTGCACCTGATGGGCGAACATCTCACAGTGGAACAGCGGCCCGGCGACCCTGCGCTGATTTCCTGACAATGGCACCACCAGCCTCCAAAACCACCAAATACTCCTTCATCAGTTCGGCTTTTTAATGGGCTAAATGCAGGACTGACTGGTCACCCTAATAAAATGACATAACCTAGACTGAACCACATTACATGCCAACGTAACAGTAGACTTGGCCAGTCAACTACCTAAAACTATTCAAGAAAGTGATGAAGCCACAAAAATTACGAATTTATAACTACAACGACTTAGGTGACCAAACCGAGCCAGTGAGAAAGCCCCTGACGACGACGGCACACGGCCTGCTGTCGCTGTACCGACCTGGCCACCCGCAGGGCCCCGGGAGTCACGGGGGTCTCGAGGAAGAAGACAGCAAGCAGGCGGCTGCTCCGAGGAGCCTGGCGGGCGGCCCCGCGCCGTACGGACCCACCCAGAGAAGTGGCTCTCGCTGCCACCGGAGCCGCACCGTCTGTCCCTACCCGCCTCCTCCGCGTGAAGAGCACGAACGGCAGGGGCTCCGAGTCGGCACGGCGGTGTTCTCCTCGGAACCGACTGCTTTCCAGCGAGGACGCCTCCCAGGGGAACATGTGTCCCTCGCAGCCCAAAGGGCTCGGCGCACTTACAAAGGTGAGGGGTTTTAGTGCACACGGTGCCCACCTTTCTTTCCCATGAGGTGGCAATTTTAGAATTAGGGATTCAAGTTCAAACCATATGTGAAAGAATGATTATAGAACAGACAGAAGAGGCTGGAGAACGAGCGAATATCACAAAATGGGCCTGGCGGGTTGTGGGCGCGCCCCACTTCTGACGCAGGGGACGAGTCAGCCCCCCGGCAGGTGAGTGAGGACTGAACCTGTGCCAACTGCCAACACGCGACGGGCCCGAGTCCAAGGGCGCAGGGCTTCCACCCAGGACCACCCAGAGATGGGACCCAGCGTTCCACGTGCCGCCCCCGCTGCACCCTGCCCTTCCCGTGGAAGAGCCCAGTGGGAAGGCTGGAGGGGCTGACACCAGCGCGGTGGCCCCTCGGAGCCCTGAGCCCCGGTAAGAGGCGTCATTCCCCAGCACATTCCCAGCGCGACCCGGACAGGGATGCTGGCTGCGAGCCCCGTCCACCGCCCTCGCACATCAGCCAGGGGCTGACACCTCACACTGCCCAGGTGTCTGCGCTGGCTCCACATGGCCGGGCTGGCCACTGGCGACGGATAAAAGGAGTTTTAGCCTTTACGCTTCCAAAAACTGACAGACGAGAGAATTTTTAGGGCTGACAGGTGACTGCAGAAATTAGGTACCGAACTGTTCCCGTGTTGCTCTATCTTTACGGGACCTACGCAGATTGGGTCAGCCAGGCCTGGTCGAGTGGCTCCAGAGCGGGAGGCTGAGAGCACTTGAAACACAACATGCCCGAAGCCCAGACACCCTAACTGCTGCTCGCTCTTTCTCTATCCACTAGAAGTGGCAGGCCTAGGCGTGGCCACCCCCAGCGGCCTGCTACAGGGATTACGGTCAGCAGGCAGACGCAGGAGCAAAGGGACCGCGTCTGTGCACGAGGCCACCCCCGCTGCTATCGCGTGAGAAACCGTCCCAGAAGCCTTCATCGTCTATGTCTCATTCAGCTGAGATGCTCCAGCTCTCCTCACACCCGCGCCCTCCCGCCAGCAGGTGACCCCAGGAAGGGCTGCAATCTGTGGGTCTGTGCATCCGGCACGGCCCTCACTCAGGGCAGCACCCTGACCCTGCCACCGTGCGTGGAGGTGTCCTCCTTCTCACAGGACAGAGGCGGCCACAACTGCGTCCCCCTAACCATTTTCTTCTTACTCCTAGGGAAGATTTGAGGGAGACGCCTAGTGACAAGACCAACCTAACTTGGGCTTACAGACGGGTCTTGTCTCAAAGACAAACAGGAGGCTGCTGAGCTGCGTGCGCAGGAACCTCCGTGGAGGGGGTCACAGAAACGTGCCGTTCGCCTGGCTGTCTGCCCAGCAAGCTGAGCTAATCGCTCTAACTGGAGCTTGTCAACCGGCCGGAGATCAAGCAGCTGCTATGTACACGGATCGTGGCCAGGCCTTCAGTGCAGCTCACAACTTTGGGACATTGTGGAAGCCTTAACTCCCTCGGGGCCGCCCACGAGGGAGGGCAAACAGTTTGCAGAACGATCAGAGCCATACGGCAGCCGAGACAACGTGACTGCCAGAGCTCCCGGCACGCGACAGCTGCGGCCGGCGAAGCGGAAGGAACCGAATCGTTTAGCTGACGCGGCGGCCAGACCGTCCCGGCCCGCGAAGCCCATCACGCCTGCCACGGCCCACTCACCTGCACTGCAGCAAGTGCGTGAGCTCACTCATCGCGTCCTACAAAGACGGGCCCGTGGGGCCACCAGGACCGGTTCTACGGGGCAGTCTCAGCCTTGACATAGCCCTTGATTCCGACTTTTCTCGAGAGCTACACTTTAAAAACTGGGCTAAATGGCTCACTTTGGGAGAACACTTCCAAGAATATCTCCCTAATAATCTCCGTGGCAGACAGATAAACAAAGAGAGATGAACACTGTGTGGCTATAAACACAAACAGCAGAAAACCAGAAAAGGCCATCTCTGGTCACCGCAATCTAAAACTCGTGGCTACGTGCTGGTCTGTTTTAGTGTCTCCTCCCCCACAATTACCACCATGTGTTCGGGGCTGGAAAGGCATAGATTAGACACTAAAATAAACGTGGGTCACCTCAAAAAGAACCACAGGGATAACCTGTGGACTAAAATCCCCTGAACGCGCCCCTCCCAACTCAAGGCCCGGACGTTTGTGGGATGCGCTACAGAATGCCCAAACTAGGCTCTCGGGAGTGACCACTACTCACTTAACCACGGCATGGGACACTCGACACCGTGGGTTCACGTGGTGTACCCCAATGGCCCCAGGCCACAACACGTCTGGTGGATCCGATAGCACTGACCCTCCGTAAGAAATGAAGAGACACTTGGAGGGGCGTGGCTGCCTTGGTATCTGGGACAAGCTGCATTTGCAGCTAATAAATGTCATTCGTTAGAAAGATTCTTTATCTAAAATCGCACACATGAAGAGATGCTGTTCCGAGAAGGGAGTGGATGGAAACAGCCTGCAAAAGCCACGAAGCCTCAGCTCACCGGTCAGGACGAACCCGACAGCGGGAACGGGCCTGCGCTCCAGCTCAGCAAGGCCCGTCGTCTGCATTAACACACAGGGAGGCGGAGTGGCTACGAAGCCACGGCCAACCGTGACGGTGTGGAAGCCCGGGCCGGACGTCCACGGTCTCTCACGGTCCTCCTGGACTCTGGGAAGTTTTAGGTGGAAAATGTGACTTACGATGTTGTATTTTAACAACTCAGGCACCTCAGCTGAACCCTAAACTAAAATTTTCAATAGTTCAACTGGCTGGTAATGGACTATTCTTCATAACTCTCAAATGCTTCCAATGGGAAATGGATGGGTAATATTAAAAAACAATAGGAACCCAGCTCATGGTCAGACTGTAAAAACTGAAAAGGTGAACGCCCTCAAACTGTATGGAATTCTGAGTTCACCCAGACCTGGCCTGTTGTATCTACCCCAATAAACAACAATACAGCTACATGGGAAGGAACTTTTTGTTTGGAAGAATTAAAAATTCCTGTTACTCTAAGTAACTTCATTGCACTGACACGACTTATGTTAAATACTACAAGACGAACATGGAGTAACACTGAGGTTATAAGCAAAATAACTTCACCTGAGGCTCATGACACTTGTTGCAACTTTGACAATGAACATCACGTGCACTAGGGGGTTGAACTTGACCTCCCCGTGATGTTGTTCCCACGAAAAGTGGCCGGAAAAAATTAGAGCTTTTAGGTGAAATGACTAAAGTCCTTTATTCACCTGGCCAGACATACCACAACGCACAGATGACAGCAGACGAAGAGGAAAACTCACTGACAGCTTAATCAACACGACCACGACGCGCAAAGAGGGCTCTCTGGCTGACACTGGCCGCAGCTCCCAGCCTGTGAGCTGAGCGACTACCTGGCTCTTACTGTCACTCCATCATGACAGACGAGGGGAGAAAAGACACTCCCGAAACAATAGAAGTGGGATCACAACAGCTGGTCGATGAGAAGCGACCAGGAGCGACCAGGAGCGCCCCCCTCATTAACGACGCCTGGCCCGACCCACTGAAAAGGCCGTTTGCAACGATCCGCCGAGGCTCACGGTCCAGGTTACCCGCGAGCCCTTTCCTCCCTGCTGGTCTGTGCAGACGCGGTTACAACAGTCGACTTCCTAGAAAGGAGCCTTCCTCCCTGCAGGGGACCAAAGGATGATCGCAACGGTCACCAGAGCAACGTTCAGATTGATTTAAGATCCAGAGAGGGAGCTGAGAAAGGAAAGGGTGTCTACGCTGCCGCTCCGGCTTGTTCGGTAACCAAGGTGACGACGCAGTGAATTCCGAAGCAAAGCCTCCACAGGGCGGCCTCACACTTGCTGACACCCCAATTACGAAGGTAAAACATGTAGATGGCGGTGCCTGCTCCTTCCACATCCTGATACAAACGCACAAGTAACTGCTTCCACAACTCCCGACCCTAGGTGCCTGACAACCCTGCCTTATCTGCACAGCCTCTTCCCCGGACGCAGCACTGTTAACCCCTGAATGCGCCGAACTGAACTGCTGCGCGCAGCTGTGTCTTCCTCCGTCCCCTGCCCTTAAGCGTCCCCTCACGTGCCTAAAGTCCCAGCACTGATTTCCTGGAACTCTACTCTTGGGCATGTCCTGGGCTGGGAATAAATAAAAAACTCACCTAAAAATGTCCAAACTTTCTTTTCGTTGACAA